GTGTTTGTAGCGTTCTGCGGGCCGGCTTGTGTAGGCCTAAGACGGAGAAAGAAGAAAGGCGAGACTAGGACTAGAACACATTATACTCCTAGCCTCCATGCCTCCTTACGACATCACACCCTGTCCAGAGTCCACAGATGTCTGGACAACCCTCCCGGGTTTCCTCCTCGAAACTGACAAAGATTTACAAACCCAACAACTCCTCGGGACTTGGCCGGGTGCTCGCTCCCCTTTTCGTTGCTTCTTTCGGTTGGAGTTCCACCTATTGTCTCTCTCTGGGCCCCTACCCGAGGTAGCAGTTGCAATGGGGGCAGATTGACATGTCAAACATGACATGTCAAAACAGAAGTGATTGACAGTTTGGGTATGCAACAGCGGTTCGGGCAAAACGAACGGGTCCAAGAGCCCGAAACCCGCGGCCGTGATAGACGACGACGGGGTTGTCGCACGTGTTTTTGCTTTTTTTCTCCTGGTAGATTTTGTGTAAGCAAAGCCCGCGGCAAGGAAGGCATCTGGCATTCCCAAAAGAATGTCCAGAATAAAATGATTCCCCATCCCCACGTGGTGTGACCGGTGTCGTTGACCCCCCTTGCGTCCGTTTACTCGGTAACCCCCCTCCACTCACCATCGACGACGACGACCCGTTTTCTATAGACCGCTGTTCAACGAGAGCCCGCGTGGCCATCAAGCCACCCGCCATGGCAGCCACTATGGTGACATACCCGTACAACGATCCGACTATCGATCAACCCCAGAGGGACTATCTGAAGAAGCTGGCCGACTTCGCTGAAGATCAAAACCTGTCCGAGGATCTCCGTCCATATGTACGAGCGATTACGATCGCCTTCACTGTCTTTGCTGCGTTCGTGGTCGGGTTGAGGTTTACGGCCCGTCACCTGCAGGGTGCGAGGTACCTTAAAGATGACTACACGATGTTGTTCGCTCTGGTGATATTGATTGGGAACATGATTATGAATCTTATCCGTAAGTGGCATTGGAAGATGAGAGTACAAAGACATGCTAACATTTTTGCCAAGTGGTTGATGCCGGTATTGGATTGCATTCAGGACGCCTTACACTAGAACAGCTGCAGTTTCTCGACAAGGTACGCATCACTGATCAGCGTTCCCTAGCACCCTGCAGCTTCGCTTTACTATCCAGCTTATGAGGACTAGACTAACATTGTTTTTGTAGACCATGATTGGTGCCGAGATTCTATACGTCAACGGAGTCAACGTATACAAGATAGCGCTGCTGTTGCTGTACCTACGCATCTTTCCAATGCGAGAAGTCCGTAAGGGAGCATGGATATGTGGCAGTTTGACATCGCTCTGGACGCTTGCTTGCGTCGTCGCCGCCTCGATACAGTGTCTTCCCCTGAACACGCTATGGGAACCGTGGAAGCCCGGAACTTGCATCAACCTCTTTTTGACGCAACTTGCCATCGCTGTGCCGAGCATCATTGTCGACATTGCGATTCTCTATCTTCCGATACCCCACGTGTTGAAGCTCCAGATGAATAGAGCTCAACGGATCCTGGTCCTCTTCACTTTCCTCCTAGGAAGCTATGTTGTGTTCTGTAGTGTCTACCGCTTCAGAATTTTCTTGCTATACACGAAGAACGATGTTCCTTGTAAGTCTCTTGATGCGGATGAACTCTCTGATTTTCTCGTACTAACTCAACAATAATAGACTCATTGGCTCAAGGCCTGGCCTGGAACATTATTGAAATCAGCAGTGGTATCGTGTCTGCATGCTTACCGACTCTTGTAAGTTTAGCAATGACAACGTTAATGACAACATGACTGATCAAGTGCACAGGGTCCAATCGTCCGTGTACTATGGAAGGGTCTCCTTGAATCCGCTCAACGAAGTGGTCTGGATAAGTACGCCCAGTCATCCTCCAACAAGAAGTCGACAGGAAGGTCAGCAGGCATGACCATCGGCGGCGGACGATCCGGAAACGCCTCCCATGCAAGGGATGGCTCGAAAGACTGGTCCAAGCTTCCCGAAGCCAACGCTAAACCGAGCTTCCGGGAGGAGTCCAAGTACGGTATCGGCCTCCGGACAATGGGTGGAGGCGACGATGACCGTAGCTCCCGTAGCTCAAATGATGTCGAGCTGATGCCTCAGAGCACGGTTAGCGTAACTGTGCGGAGCCCAGCCAGGGACAACTTTCCCGAACACGAAGGGGGTATGAGTGCGAGAGAGCACTACCATGGGAAGAAGATCTCCAAGGAAAGCAACTCTGGATATCCTCACTCAGATAACAGGATATGGCAGCATCGCGAGGTTGAGATAACGACGGAACCGGTAGAACCGGAGTCCGTCTTGCCGGATTTTAACAGGAAAAGGAAGTCGGGGATATGACGAGACGGACGCTGGCGGAATACCCATATGAATGAACATCCTTTGTAAATAACCTGTAATAGTATCTAGTATAATCATGCTGATGGAGCAAAAGCTTCAAATCTTTCAGATCAAGGCCTCGACAAGCTGTCCAAAGCGATTCGGTTCTGGAATACATGTCAGTAAGCCTCGAATAAGGTTGTTCACGGTGTAAAGAATTTCAAGTGTTGCCTCAAAAAGCAGCTTCTGTTTTTACTTCTCTGCGCATATGATTCTATGACATGCAAAATGCTGCAAAGATATGTTAACAAGAAGTTATACCGTAACGTAGTCTTCTAGGATGACTCAGCCTGCTCTTGTTCCCTGGCCTTCTTCAGATCCTCCGGCCCATAGAGGTTCCTCACGGCGAAAATCAGCCCAGCTGCGAGTGCAACCATCAAAACCCAGATTGCGTAACCGCCTAGAGCCTGAGTGTTAGCACCTATGGCAAATAGGGTGGTGAACGAGGCCGGAGAAAATGCCCTGATGACGCTCGCTCCGGTAAGAGCCAAAGCATTCAGCGTTCCTAGAACACGAGGGCTGGGCGAGATATCGTTCAACGACAGTTGTATGGCAGTGAAGCTCATGCTCACGCCGCAGCCGATAGTGAGAGCAATGGGCATAAAGACCCAGAAGAACGTCACCCATGCCGGGTTGTGTACACCGAGCTTGAGGACGACGTTGCCGAGAGGGCAGACGAGGAAGAACCAAGGGTACGCATAGGCGCAGGCGCGCAGCACACCGTTCGTGCCTATGCGATGCTGCAACGGCGGGAAGATGATGAGGAGCCATGAGACTTGGGCGATACCGTTGACGGACATCATGACGGAGATTTGCAGAGGGGTGAAGCCGTAGCCACCAAGCTCGACTGGGGTGAACCAAAAGACGGGAACGACGGCCGTGTAGGACAATGCGAGGAGCATGAGGTACCCGTACACGAAGAGGACATTGGAAGCGCCTGGCGACTTGACGATCTGTTTGATGGAGCCCTTGTCCTTCTTGAGCGGTGCTGCTGCATCGTCGTTGCTGCTGTGCTTCTCCTTGACCAGTGTTTCCTCGACAAACAGTATGCTAGTGATGGTCGCCGTCAAACCAATGAAGCCAACGCAGAAGCTGGATAGTGCGTAAGGGTAGTCGAAAAAGAATTGAGCTTTGAAAACGCTCGGGTACTGATGCGCCGGATCGGCGAGGGCCCCGCCGAGAAGGGGCCCGAAGAAGATTCCTAGGTTACCACTCAGAGCAAACCAGCTAAAGGCCCTGGCTTGCGTCTTTTGGGTGACGTGCTCGGCAATCATGGTGCGCATCGTGACAAGAGATCCGCCAAACACGCCTGCCAGGCATCGGAAGAGGATCATCTGCCAAATGGTCTGTGCCATGCCGAAGATGGATGTGGCGATGGTGACACCGCAGAGGGAGAAGACGAGGACGGGCTTGCGGCCAATCCGATCAGAGAGTCTGCCCCAAAAGATCATGACGACGGCCTGGGTCAGGGAGAAGAGTGACTCGATGAGACCGCTGTAGAAACCGACGTCGGCTTTGGCGAGGTGGCCGTTCTCTTCGGCCATCTGGCTGATGTATGGGAAGATGCAGAAGAAGGCCATGGGCTCTACAAGTCGCGCGTAGCATAGCCAAAAGACTTGCCATACCGGCAATGGCTTATCATCGTCGTCCGGAGTCTCATTCTCTTGGGATGGCTCATTGAGTGTTGTGGCCTTGGAGACATCGGGATCAGCGGTCGGAGCGATATCGCCGGCGATAAGCAATGGAGTTGTCTCCGTCGCGTCGTGACTGAAGGTGTCGCCGGTTGCCGGCCTCTGGTTCGGCGCCATCTTGATGGCGCAAGAATGTGCGGTTGTATTCGTATGGTTTGATACAATTACCCTAGAAGACGGAGGTTCCTCGGTTTGGTCGGCTCTTCCTCAGAGCTTGCGTTCCAGGCACAGGCGGCGTGACGAAGTCGCTTGTGAAGTAATTAAGTGTATGTAAGCAAAAGTGAGATGAAACGCAATTAACATTGTTAATAATTTGAGAGCGCGTCACCTCGGTCTTATGTCAGACCGCCGCAATTTTCAGCCTTCCTAATCAGGTTAGGCTACCTAACCAAAGTACCGTCCCAACTCTCAACAAACAATTCAATGGCTGTATTTAAGCATACCTCTGAAGGATGGGATTTTTTGTGTTGCACAATTGCATTTGTGCAATGAGATGCCAATTCTTTCGCTTGCCATTGAGACAAAGAAGACTGAACAACTCGCCTGTTCATCCAGGGCTTCCGTTCGCTACATCCTCGGGTTCGCTCATTTTCTCCTCTCGTCATAGTACACATGGTTGTGACAGCTTTTATCATATTCAAAACGCCGCTTTCCGCTGGCTGGAAATATCTAATTCAAAGCACTTGTCTGTTTTTGAAATCTCGCGAGAATTTTAATTGTCAAATAGATCCATTCTGTGCATTTCAGTCCTGCAGATTGATCTTCTTCTCGCCAGTTCATATGATCCTTTTCTGCAAAACAAGTCCACCGAAGACTAAAGTCATCCGGTAAATCCTCTGCCGCTGAGATGTAGCTATACATCTACTAGCCATTGCACTCTTTTATCACCTCCAAAATCTTTCAGGCTTTCTGGCTCACAGGCTGAGTGGCCACAATTTCTTCCCCTTTGCCTGTATACTGGTGAGCCGGGCTATCTCCGTCAGGCCTATCGGAATCGGATCCAATGACTGAGGAGCCTTCTGCGGCAGCTCCTTCGGTCGCAAGCCTCATCTCCAAGTCAGGATGCTTGTGCTTCCATCTTTTCATGTACCATGTGCCAAACATAAGAAAAGCCCACATTGCGACTTCGAATACTGTAGCTGCGGGATACCCGTGGGGATAGCGCGGGGCTTCGACGGTTGGGAAGGTGAAGAGAGGGATCCAAATCTGTCCACAGAATCCGAGGGTCATCATCGAAGAGATGATGAGACCTCTTTCACCGTAATTCTCTTTGAGTGTAGAGTTCAGCCAGGAATACTAGGCCGCTTTTGTTAGATAGGTGAATCTAGCATGGTGTACAAGGCGACATACCAAGATCGGGGATGCCATTCCAGAGAAACCTCCGAAATAGAATGCGAGGAATTTGAGGATGTCGGGGACGTTCCATATCGACAGGACTATGCAAGAGAAGAGCACAAATGACTATGAGTAATCAGCGCTGATCCTTGTGTCAATTTTGATAAGATGGGATTCCTACCGCTTGGAAAGACCAAAGGCCCCTCAAACTCAAACAACCCGCTAACGTAGTTCCCAGCCAGGAAGACAATGCCCGCAGAAGGTCGATGAAAGTCGGCAAAATATTCACCAATTCAACAGAGTATCCAGCAGCCTTTAGCCACAAAGCCATGTAGCCTGTCCAGTAGTGCGCTTGGCACAAGAAGCTGTAGTGTGTCAGAGAAACAATCGCTTCCAAGGAGGCTCCGGGGCACGAACATGTAGCAAGGGACGCAGATCCACCACATTGGTCTGGAGAGCGTATACTTGAACGTCTTCCAGGTAATGCCCTCCTGTTCGACTGTTGGCATCCGCTTGACGGCGAGGGCGTGCTCCTCCGCAGAGAAGTACCACCTCTTGGGTGAAGTTGGAAGGCCAGGCCAAAACGCGAAACCCAGGAAGGAGATGGGTAGAGTGATGATACCCTGGACGATGAAGAGCCATCGCCACCCTGCGCGTCCAAAAACGCCGTTGAGGTTTCGATACGCCGCGGCCTGCAAATAGCCGGAGAACATGGAGCCTAGAGAGTTACCCATGAACCATACTCCAGCTCGCTTGAAGAGTTCTTCATTCTTGAACCAACTGCCCACTACTTTTGGTCAGTATTTCAACGTGAAACAATGTATGTGAACGACATCCTTACGAATGAGATGAGTGCCGCCGAACGATGAAGCTTCGAGGAACCCTGTGATAGCGCGGAGGATGTACAGATGCCAGCTATGCTTGATTGTGGACTGAGAGAAAGCGATCACTGCCCAGATGATCTGCAGGGAAGGTAACAAGAAAGGTGCACTGCACAATCTTGATCAGCAACTTGCTACATCGCCTGAATAAGCATCTAATTGTTTAACTTACATCTTTGCCTTCGTTTGCAGAGTCATGAGCGGGATTTGGCCAATGACGTATGCGGTGTTGTCTGAAAAGGTCAGTGGTGCATGTGACATGAGTTTCTGAACATTGGCTTACAAGCGACGACATAGTAGTTCAACTCGTTGCCGTGAGAATCAAGATCCTCACGCATGCCTGATACATATGCGTTGGTGACATTTTGCTGCCCAAGGAACTACTGGCGATTAGCTCATAACTACGGGAGTTGTGAGTGAAAGATTCCCTTACTCTGCAAAAGACTAAGAGCCGTAAAGGTAACGATTAGTTTGGTTTACCTTCCATCAAATGAAGAGACCTTGACTTACAAGACAAACTTCCAAAGACTAGAATCGCGAGATCGAGTTTTCGCAAAAGCTTCCGCTCTTCTGCAGGATAGTGGGAGGCTGTTCAATGACTGTGAGTGACTTCCTTGTGTACTTAAGATGCACGGTCGAACACTTACGGTACCAGTCAAACACTGACAATATCACTGCCCCTATCTTGTTCTCCTTCACCTTTTGACCGAAAGATCCCATCTTCAGCTGGTTCTACCGGATATTCGTCTGCGATGCACGTGCAAGCGTCAGAATCGGCACTGAGCTGTCGGTAGTGGTTTACATATAATGTCACCGGCGCCAGGAGGATTCCTCGTCCCCCTGTCTATGTCCCTTTCGCCTTCTTGGTCTTATGTACAGCCTTCACTAAATGCTTGCCAACCCCAAAACGTGCTTCTACCATGAACATCCAACCACCGCGGCGTCTTGTCCGCGATAAGCTCAACACCCAGTCTCTCATGCGGCATAACACCCGCCGAGACCCGACTACATGCATCGCACAAGAGCCTCGCCCACTATTCGCCATAGTGGCAGGAATGACGAGTGTCCATGCTTACCGGGGAAAGATGCGGGATAGCGGGTAAAGTACCTTAAACAAGGACCAATAATCTCCGATGCGGCAACGAGATCGTGAGTCCGGACAAACCCTCACCCACCACTTCCGCCGAACTCGGGGGTTTACCGAACGTCCAAGACCGGAGAAATACTACCGGGTGGGATCTCTAGACTGACTTGAACCCGTTTCCTGCGGCGCAGACATCGGTTTAGCGGCGGGAAAAGCCCGACGACGTGTGACGGGGGTGGGGATTGCGCCATCCGTTATCAGATGATGACATGCGGCGATCTCGCATCTCCAAGTGCCTCGACCAAGTAGATTTATTGTGTTGCTTGGTAAGTGCCGCGGGGTAAAATGCGAGTGTGACACCATGGAGAAGGATGAAACCAAATCAACTTGCTATTATTGGTCTCTTGATGGTTGAGGATTTGGTGGGGGTTAAGTCCTGCGGAGACGTCGCCGTGCCGTGTTGGCTCGACTAATACGGGCAGCGAGATCCGGCGTGAAGCCGTCCGTAGTCGCAGTCAAGGTTCATAGTTAAAACGGCGAGCTTGGAACCCGGGCTTTGGGTGTATTGGAGAAAACCTAGACAGAGACCAACCAGCCTCCGAAGCAAAGATACCCCGCCTCACCGCCCAAAATGCCGTCTGCTGTGTCCGAATTGTACCAATACACCCACGTCCCAGAGACGGAGGAGAACCTCGATTGGGCTGACCGTAAGTCTTGGCTCACCATGCTTTCACGCAAGACTATGCAGGGCTTGCAAGCTGACAGGCACCCGAAGTTCCCACCATTGATCTTGCAAAGTATGGGACACCAGAGGGCAACAAGGAGCTTGCCGATACATTGATCGAAGCCATTCGTACCAAGGGCTTCTTCTATGTTATCAACTATGGCATCTCGCAAGAGGCCGTCAACGCACAATTTGCCCTTGGCCAGAAATTTTACGAGCTGCCGTTGGACGAGAAACTCAAGTATGAGCCGGATTTGGATTCTGGAGATTACAATGGATACCGTCCCGCTGGTCGGCGGTTTTTGAGCGGTGGCCTCAAGGATAAGACAGAAGTATGGAACATGGCTAGTGAGTACTTCTTCACTTTGCTTCGAATCGAGGAAGCGTTGCTGACAGATGCATTCCAGCTCGCGCTGGACACATCACACAACCTTTGCCCAAGCTTCTGGAAGATCGCAAGGAAGATATTGAAGGATTCGCAAAGGTACTATCGAAGCCCTTTCAATCGTACGTAGGATATCGTGACTAACGCCAAACTTAGAACCTCCATGATAAAGTGCTAGACCCCCTGAACCACCTCATCGCTCTGGCTTTAGAGCTTCCCGAGGACTTCTTTACACGCGTACACAAGTGGGAAACTCACGATGAGTCTCATCTGCGCTATATGAAATATTCCAAGTTCACTCCGGAAGAGATTAAGCAACTCGATGATGGCCTGTGGTCCCGCGGCCACACAGATCTGGGGACGATCACCCTGCTTTTCCGTCAACCCGTTGCCGCCCTGCAAATCAGGGATCATGAGACCGGCGACTGGAAATGGGCTAAGCCGCTTGACGGCAGTCTTACCGTCAACACTTGCGATGCCCTCAGCTTCTTGACGGGTGGTTACGTCAAGTCCACGGTCCACCGGGTGAGTTGAAGCTCATCGGCACAACTTGACTTGCCCTCTATAGTTTGCTAATCTGGAATTCAGGTATCTGTGCCGCCCAAGGACCAGCGCCATGTCGATCGCCTGGGTTTATTGTACTTCGCGCGTCCTCAAAACGACCTCGTACTGAAGACGATTGACTCACCAGTGCTCAAGCGCGAGGGCTTTACTCAAAACGAGTTCGAGGCTGGCGGACACCCGGTGCCGACCATGGGAGAGTTCACCACCCTCAAGCAGACTTGGCAGCAAAGGAAAGGGGTCAGCTACCAGAACTCGGAAGGACAGGAGATCCTCCCGGGATTCAAGGGCCAATACTTCAAGTAGGACGAACGGGCTGTTCTGGCCGCCACATTTCTCGGAAACATGATCTTCGAATAAATGTGTCTGGATGAAAGGCACTTTTGTGATGGTGGTGTTGTGGCGGCGACCAAGGCGGCACGTTATGTATTGTGGTGATCAATATGAGGTTCATCCTTTAGTGACCCTCTACCAGCCCACACCACCTTACCATGTGCTACCTAGACTGACAAAGGAATCAATCGACTTAAGACATCTACAATCTCTCAGCTGAGGTCTCTAACCCGCGTGGTCCCCGTTGTCGCTTGCGAGTATCCTAGACTGTTCGATTAAAATGATAGGACGACTCTCATCTCGCGTCACACTTTTCTTGGCCTTCTTTACAACTTCGTGAGGTATTCAGCTTGACTGGTTGGATTCGGAGGAGAATAAAGACAGATTGCTACCGCCTACTACTTCTGTACTACACAAACACGATTCTTTCATTAGTGAACAGTAGAGCTTCATTTGATCTGCATCAATTTCACCACTGGATATGAAATACTTGACAACTTCCTACGATCTCTCACCATGAGCAACCTCGAAGCTATCCCATCATCAATCTCTCCAACATCGCTCCACGGCCCCTCAAAAAAGCAAAAGCAAAACGACCTCTTTGACGTTTTCAAAAGCATCTAGCTCCAATCATGCCTTCTCCATCGACGTCCAATGCGAGCGAAAGAAGCTCAAGTCCGCAATCGCATGAAGGCGGCGCAAGACTGCATATCGATGGATGTGGAAATCTTCCTTTACGTCTCTCCGAACTCGCTTTGGACAATGCTGTCAAAGCGAAAAGATTCTTGTGGGATGACAAATATATCGACGATCATGGCAACACAGCCCTCCTGTATGCGACCCAAGGACATCCTAAACATATGCTGCCCAAGATCAGGCATCATCTTAAACATGGGGACGATTTCAACGTTGCATGCTCCCAGAGGTGCTGCACACCGTTGATCAATCTTGTCAGATCGGGAGACGATGACCCGCATTCACTCAACAAACTTTGGGAGAAGGGAGACACGAAGCCAATAATCAAGGAACTGATTAGCGCAGGCGCCAAAGTCAATTTGGACAACTCCCTATACGGCACCGCCTTGAACAAGGCATGCTATGATGGCAATTTGTCAATGGTTCAGTTCCTCCATAGGGAATGCGGTGCGGACGTGAACTTCGTCTCCAAAGGCTTCATGGGCAATGCTTTGCAGGCCGCATGCTCCGACAAGAAGGGCGTGCGTCAAACCGAAACTGACAAGATTCTCAAGTATCTCGTGGTAAAGGCCGGGGCAAATGTCGATCAAAAGTGCGGATTCTTCGGCACTGCGCTCAACCTGGCTTGTCTGCTGCCAGCGAATAGCACCTGGTCGACTCTCTCAAACAATCTCAATGCGAACCCAACTATTGCCGACCAGATGGGTCGTTTGCCGATTCACTTCGCAGCTGTTCACTCAATTATGAGGTACCAGGGCATTTTACAGCGCCTTTCCGAAAAGGGAGGGGACCATTTGAATTCGGCGGATAAAACCGGTCGCACTGTTCTACACTGGGCAGCTCAAAGCGGAGATGTTAAAACCGTCCAAAACATTCTCTCATCTGGCAAAGTCGATGTCAATCAAGCCGACAAGGATGGCTGGACGGCACTGTGCTGGGCCGCTAGAGGTCTAACCTCGAAAGCAAAGTTTGCTCAGAAGGATTCTCAACACCAAGTAGAGGTGATCGAGCACCTCCTCAACAGCGGTGCTAATGGCCGAGTGAAGTGTGTGAGAGAGGATACGGTGAAATGGTGTCCAGTGGAAATCGCCTATTTTCATAACAGCGGGAAAGATGTCATTGCAGCCTTGTCGAAGGCGAGTGATCCAAAGGAGCTACAGAAGCTCAAAGACGAAAGAGGAAGAGCGGGCTATCAACATGACCAAATGATTTGCTCTTGTTGTCAATCGGTATGTGTTCCTACATCTTGCGCAAAAAGCTATCTATCTCGTGTTTCTGAATGGATGTGTTGCTAATGCCTTGTATTACATGAGTAGCACGTAATCGGCCGGGTATACTCCTGTCGGAGATGTCCTGACTTCCAGTTTTGTCTTAAGTGTTATCGTCACCGGGAAAAACTTCATCCTGGGCCTGATCCAAGGCTTCCTCATCACCTGGAGTTTGCACAAATCCATCCTCAACAAGAGTTTGGCGAGGGATTTCCCGATTTGCCCTGGCCATCTAAATGCTAGCAACAGATAAGCTGTTCGACACGCATTTACTTCACACTGCCCATGAAGATGAGTCTAGTACTGGATCAATAGGGAACGGAAACCATTGCTCAGCATCAGAATTTAGAAGCACTAGGACTTGTTCTCAACTATCTTGCTTTGTGAAGATCGTGCCAAATTTGGAAGTAGCCTGAATTGATTTGAAAAGACTTGAACACCAATGTCTGGCATAGCCTTGACGTCCGGGTAGACGCCGGCCTAGCTACTTGCCTTCCCTCGATGAATATTCCAATAAGTCCTACATCGCGTTACTTGACATGTTATCCAGCTTGGTTCGTTGTTCATTCAGACCTTTTTTCATTTTGAAACAAGGAATAAGGGAAATGGACTCAGACGTGAAGCGATACCTTTTTTGCTGCTACCCTTTTCCACTGACGTAGTTAGATGATGAAGCCAACCGTCCTTGAAGACGTTCACAGAATTATATCACAAAGAAAGCCACACTGGATCGTTGCGATGTTGAGATTGTAGATATCTATAACAAAACCTCAAATTCCTTTATAGAGGAAAGCACCCCCACGAGAAAACCTGAACCCCTGTCCCGAAATCGAGAGACGTAGTAACTCAATCACCTAAAGAACCCTTCCACCATCAGCCGCACGTCTTCGGAGCAGCCAAAGAGTATGTGGTTAGCCCGTCCATCTCTAGCGCCCAAAAAGTCCAACGCTTCCCCCCTCATCTCCACCAACACACTAACCGTTCGCCAAAAATGACTCGAAAGCGCAACGCTAAGGAAGGACTTAGTCGGCTATCCTTTCCTCTTCTCAAACTCGCGGGGACTCTAAGTGAATTTAGAATGTGGCGATTCGTCCGAGCCCCAGGCCCTATGCCGACATTGTCAACTACCGACGCACTCTTCTAGTCGTAGTGATTACTCATGACTTATAGAATTGTCTTGGCACATAAGCTTGCGGCATTGACTATCCTTATCTGGCAAAGTATGAATACGGTGATAGGGGAAATTTATTGCAATAGTGGTCATCATTCATTAACATGGAATCTACGGAGTAAATCTAAAAGGTATCGCGCACCGAAATCCCAAACAAAACGCCAAAGTTAACTAACGAAAAGATCAACAGCCAGTTTTTTCCTGTCAAACACTTCAGCGCGCTACCTGGCCGCCAAGACCGCTCTTGCAAATGACCGTTCCAGTTGTGGGCTGCTTGATCTTGTTACTATTGAAGTTCCAGAGACCTTTGCCGCCGGAGGTCATGGCGAGGCCGGTGGTAGTGCCGTCCTTGTTGGTGTAGCTCAGCTTCATCGCGACCGCGGCATCGTCGGTGCTGTTGGACTGGCAGCCGACGGTGAGGGTGCCGCTCTGGGATGAGACCCAGTTGAAGGTGGGCATCGTCACGACATCCTTGTACTTGACGGCCGCCGCGGAGCTGCTGGCAGCGGTGGCAGGGGTTGTGCTTGTGCCGGTTCCAGTACCTGTTCCAGTGCCAGTGCCGGTGCCAGTGGTAGGGGTGGTAGCGGGAGGGCACTTGGAGTTGTCGTAGAGGGTGGCACCAGTCTGGGGGAAGGGGTTCAGCGGGCCCCAGAGGTTGCCCTCGGCATCGCGACCCAGTCCCTTGGTCAAGAAGGCGTAGCTGCGGAAGTCATGCGGGCTGGGAGGGCGACCGGGGACGGAGTCTTCGGGCTGGATCCATTCCGAGACAGGCATGACATATTGGCCGGCCATGATACCGTTCTTGGTCTTCACGGTGCCGGTGCCGGCGACGACGCGGTACTCGCGGGCGTAGTTGTCGTTTTGAGTCGCCTTGATGCGGTACTCAAACTTGTTGCGGACCTCGGTGCCGGGCACGCTCACACCCGCGATCTCACGATCGACGGCCTCGCCAGTGCACGGGTCGTACTCAATGGCGTAGATCTTGATGGGATTGACATTTGCGGCAGAGTCAGATGTATAGCCGACGAACTGTGTTGTGTTAGCTACAGGGGCATTTCATTATGCGGAGACAGCGGCATGGGAACTGACTCTGGTCTGTGCGATTTCTTGGTTGACTGTGTCGGCGGTCCAAACGCCGATGTTGGCATCCTCCATGCGGATATACGTCGGGGCGCCCGAGGTCGTAATCTGGACATTGCTCACGACAAGGTTGTAGACAATGATCTCGCTACCAGACTGAACACCAGAGTACTCCACGAAATCGCCAGCTACAATGGGAGCCATGACCAGGGCATCAGGCGCTTTGCTGCAAAGGTTGTTAGAAGTTTTCGGATAAAAGTGAGCTTCGAGACTTACAAAAGTCCTTGTTTAACGCCAGGAGTGACATCTGGTCTGTTGGACTGAGGGCAGAGAGCATCGGTGGCGCTGCGCGGAACGCACATGGGAAAGCCAGAGAAAGAGGTGATGCTTGGATTGGCGTCGTCTGCAGTGAAGAAAGGCTGGGAAGTGTATCCAACGGAGTAGATGGCGTTAGGATCGTTGATACGGATGGTGCTTCCGTCCGTCAACTTGATCCGGCCATCAGTGTTCACGCTATCAACGAAACCAGAGGCACCATTCAGAAGCGTTTGGGCGATTGAGACCTGAGCAGCAATGGGAACCCCGTTGACAACATTGCCTGTGACCTCGCAGTTGTAGCCAGTATAGCCACCACTGCTGCCCACAAATTCCTTGAAAGGGATGAAGGCCGCTGGAAATGTGACTTGAAGATTCTTTGGTACAGTAATGGCGTGGCCATTGCACCTGAAGGTGCCACCGGTGTTGAACTCTGTTGTGCTGGCAGAAGCACTACAGTTTCCATGTCAGTCTGAAGTTCACCAAGTACTGTCTAATGACTGGAGGGACGTATACTTACCCTTCGAACGCTCCGTTAATGTCGAAGGGATAGTCTGCAACCTGTGCTTGTACAGATGTGAGAGAGACCGAAGCACTCAAGGCCGCGTAGACGATTGACTTTGCCGAATACATGATGAAGGTATGTCTGAGTCGGCTAGACCAGTTTGCCAGATATCAGACTATGAATGATGAGAGTGGTGGATAACTTCATTATGATCGAGATATCGCGATGAAGCCCGGCACTTATGAACTATTTCTGAAAAGTCGGCCGAGATCGTGTCTCCCCGCAGTATTTCCCATACTCTGAAGACCTGAGATGGATTCGCGGGGACCGTGAGGCTTGGCAGCTAAAACACGAATGGTCTAGAACGTGGCTCCGTAACGTACTAGCACCCGAGTGGTGACTCCTTTGAAAACCCCATGAGGCTAGACGAGCTGATTCGAAACGAGAGGGTAAATCCAGAATAGACGAATGGTGCGGAAGCCACTTGTGCATGTGGCAATGCACATACATGCACGAGCTATGATAAGTATGCAGTATGCACGAAAGACTAGGATCGCGAACCCCGACGAGGCCGGCGAGGCCACGATTCTGCAGACTGGTCTGGCCGTATGCCGGTCCATGCACGAGGAACTAGAGATACGACTTCAGGTCAGTAGTCCTATGCAGATCTCCACAAATCTTACACCGAGTTGTGCGGAGATGAGGATTCCGGTTGGATAGTCATGATTCCTCAGCCGGACGGCTGGGTAGCTGGTAGATCACAGGATGGGGAGATGAGGGTCTGCAGAAGCTGAGGCTGCCACTCGACAGGGAAACGCCACGAGAAAACCGTCTGCCGCCACCAGTCAGTTTTTCCTTCGACGGCGAGAAATAACTGTGACAACCTTCAGCCAGTTAAGGGTCTTGGCATGGGAGGTTGGTGGGCAGCCGTTCAACAGTGAGGCCTAAACGACAAAGACTCAGTAAAGAAGTCGAGAGCGCGTCGCGTGCGTATCCTTTGACAGTCATCCGAACGGGCTTTTCATCGTATACGGTACGCAACGTCTGGCGTGAAACGAGCAACGTTGGGGGCTTCGAGACATGGTCATCGGCTTGAGCTTGAGGATTCGGCTTCGAAGAGGACAAGGACAAGGACAAGGAACCGCTCGTGTGGCCTCATTGTTCACGACCCGGCAGTTTGGGTAGCTGGAGTTCTGGCTCCACGACTGCCGCATGGATGATTCGCTGGCAAGTCGATAGGGTGTGGCAGCCTGGGGTAAACCGTATACGAGCACAAAGCGCCGAAGGACACGGCCAGAGAATGTGGTGTGGTTAAGTTTACTCGGAGGTTTTCGACGTTTAGCGGCGGCGATGGGAAACGGAGGTGGACAACGAGCGCCTGACTAAGGTGGACCCTGAAGCCCCGATCACGGGAACTTGACCAATCAAGCTCGAGATAATTAAGCTTCATCTTGGTCCGGGCTGAAGCGCTAATAAGGTTTAGCGACGGTAGCGGCTTGGCACTAAATTGTGGGGCTCCAGGAACCGAAAACTTGGGGAAGGTGCCGCCCGGGTTTACTGACTGCTGCCTTTCTTTCGACTTTCCCACCCACCCAGCCTTTCTCCCCTCCTCTTCGGAGTCCTCTTCCTCACCTCATCACCAATTCCGGTGAATTCAACGCTTTGTCCCACCTCTCATCTTTTCCATTTCCGGCCGAAACATGGACACTGCCTCCACGCATTCTCCAGTTTACCCCTGAGATCAGACTACTAGACCTTCAGAGTCCAGACGATGTGCATTGTCCGAACTTCAACGATCCATCCGATATCGATGCGAAGCTTCTTCTCTGCGCAGAAGTCGGACGAAAAGCTCACCGAGAAGACATGTCGTCGAATCATGGCCGCATCATCGAAGGAATAAGCATTCTGCAGCATCCATCAGCTGCGTCAATGTGGCGTACGATAGTCTCGTCAAGTTGTCGGCCTGGCCACGCTCTCCAGTGACAGCCCACCCTCCGGCTCCCACACCGCATCACGTGCCGCAAGACTGCGTCTGGCTCTCTCAACCAGCCTTTGACAACCTCTTGTTGAGGTCGGCTGCTGACACCGTATGCTAAGCATTGTCAGCCTAATGACACCAACGAGAAAGTTCTGCCAGTCATGGATGACATGAGGTTGGCATGAACCAGGGTGTACCCCTCCATCATCGGATGGGAAGGATGCCCAGTCGGGACCCGATCAGAGCCGTCTCAAGCGTCGATAAAGACCGACTTTAGGCCTGTGTGTGTGTGGAGGCCCGCAGCGTTCGTTCGCACAGAATGCCTGCTTCGAGCTGCTCAGCTCTCATGTTCTTGCAGCTGGACCAGATACGATGCACACTTCCACAACTCCGAAGCCATTGGTCCGGGGCAGCATCCCTGCTCCCGTGTTCTGGGGAACGCAGAGTCCGATTTGTCAATGATCCCATCCACCTTCAACTCGACAGGCTACCGACCCAGTACCCTGGAACCTCTTGCATATCAGCTCCGAGTCGCTTCTTCCTCTGCTATCCATTGGATACACATCAGCTCTTAGGCATCCTGCGCCTACCGGTACTGGCGCTCGAGCCGGTACCGTGATCCCAGAATAGCCTCGCTGGGCCATTTTTGGAGCTCGCTCAGTGGCTCGTTTCAACTTAATAGGCTCGCGCTATTGATATCTTGCATTGTCGAAGGTTCTGAGGCTGAAATCGCCACACCAGATTCAAGAACAAGGGATCTGGACTGGCTGAACAGCCGCACTAGCTCTGTCTTTATGGCCTCGACACCTGGCGTCAACTCCCAGCCTTCTCATATCGTCTCGACCAGCGTCAGGATAACCTCCCGCGCCCGGCCGGCAAAAGCTTTCCTTACATTTCCATGCATCGCATGGTGCGCTACGCGACAGTGGCGCTCGTCTTGACGGCCTGCCCACTCACCCAACCACAAGTATCACTCCGACATTGAGGACTTGGATCTGAATGGCTGTAGCTGCCGGCCGTTGATTTCTTGACCCGTATCTTCGATCCACGATTTTGCAGATGGGGTCACCTTCGAGGAATCAAACGGATCGCACGTGCTAGAGACTAGCCCGACCATCCCGTGGGCTGCTGCTTCTGCTGAACCAAGATCCTGGGTTGCCGATGGCCTGGACCCCCCTCGGCATACTCGGACAAGAGTGTTGCATCTACCGCGTGTTTCTAGACTGGCCTTCTTTCTTCACCGTCCAGAAATCTGCCCTTGGAGTATATGCATGGACAACGACATGCCCCACTGACACCGAACGATGCGATCCATGTTGAAGGACCGTAAGTCGGCCATTGAGCTTTACAGCACGCCCTCGTCAGCCCACCCATCCCAAGGGTATTGTTCGCCTTGGAGAGCAGCTCAGACTAGCGATGCTCTTGCTCCAAAAGGCTAGCCGATAACCTCTGTGCGGGAAACATTTCGCTCGAGGTCAACCCTTCACCGGCTCACACCATTGCTAAGGCTGTCGTTGTGGCTTTCTACCTGGGATCCGGCGTGGGTCTTGTCAGATTGGACTGGATCGCCGCAACTCGGTCCATGGTCTCGCCGCCTCGACCACCCAGATTTTGGATCAAGATGAAAAATGAAAGTTGATAAATACTGGAGTTCTGTCCCTACGGATGGAAATCTTCTCCACCAGTCTCATCGCCCTCATCTCCTTCCAAGCATTTGACAGTTACAAAGGCGTCGCCACCCGTCTTGGCCAGCACTTGTCACTTGCACTGTTTCTCTTGGCTCTTTTCCCTGCATATCATCTTCCATCTCCGCCATGGTCTCTTTCACTCTTCGCCAGTCTCTGGCCATTGTCTTGGCTCTCGCTTCTGATACCCTCGCCAAAGACTGGGACAGTCCCGCATACACATGGCTCTACGAGTTTCCTCTACCGATTCCCCCTCCTAAGGAGGAACGATAGTAAGTCACGCCCTCAGCTCATACCGTCGATGAAGAGCTCTCGTGGTTAACTTTCATCAGCCCCAACCAGGCGATCATCAATCCAGTGACTGGAAAGAAGATCCGGTACTATGAGGTTGAGGTCAAGGAGTTCACAGCCCAAGTCTACCCCAACCTCAAGCCTACAAACTTGGTTGGATATGATGGCATAGCGCCAGGACCAACCTTCCTCATGGAGCGTGGCGAAGAGGCAGTCGTTCGCTTCATCAACCACGCCAAGATGGCCAGCTCCGTTCATCTTCACGGCTCTCCTTCGGTAGGGCTTAGCACCATCCACCTTTGAGATACTACCATCTAACCTTTTTTGCTCAGCGCACACCTTGGGACGGTTGGGCTGAAGATGTCTTCAACCCTGGCCAGTACAAAGACTACTACTATCCCAACAACCAGAACGCCCGCACCCTCTGGTACCACGACCACGCCATCGACCACACTGCCGAGAATGCCTACTTTGGCCAGGCTGGCGCATACATCCTCCACGATTCTGCTGAAGACTCTCTTGGCCTCCCCAGCGGTTACGGCGTCTACGACATTCCTCTGATTCTCTCTGCGAAACAATACAATTCCGATGGTACTCTGTACTCGCCTGCCAACGAACAGACTAGCTTATACGGCGATGTTATCCATGTCAACGGACAGCCTTGGCCGTATCTGAAGGTCGAACCCCGCAAGTACCGTTTCCGTCTTCTCGATGCCGCCATTTCCCGTACATTCTTCCTCTACCTCGAAGATCTCAAGGCCAACAGGGTCGAATTCGAAGTCATCTCCTCCGATGCCGGCCTCTTGACGGGACCCCAGAAGGTCAAGGATCTCTACATCTCCATGGCCGAGCGCTACGAGATTGTCATTGACTTCTCCAAGTACAAGGGCGAGAATGTCACCATGCGCAACACCAGAGGCTTCGCCGCGGATGTGGACTATCTGCACACCGACAAGGTTATGCGCTTTGTAGTCAGCGACGAATCGGTCAATGACAAGTCCGAAGTCCCCTCCTCCCTCCGCGCCGTGCCGTTCCCCAAGGACAAGACCGGCGTTGACCAGCACTTCCTGTTCCACCGCACCGGCAGCGACTGGCGTATTAATGGTGTCATCTTTGCTGATGTGAACAACCGCGTCCTTGCCAAGCCTAAGCGGGGTACTGTTGAGGTTTGGGAGCTCGAGAACAGCTCCGGCGGCTGGAGCCACCCAATCCACATCCACCTCGTCGACTTCCGCGTCATTAAGCGCGTCAACGGCCGCAGCAACACGGTTTTCCCGTACGAGTCTCAGGGTCTCAAGGATGTTGTCTGGGTTGGACCCGGTGAGACTGTGACGGTCGAGGCTCACTACGCCCCCTGGCCCGGTGTGTACATGTTCCACTGCCACAACCTCATCCACGAGGACCATGAGATGATGGCTGCCTTCAACGTCACCAAGCTCGAGGACCTTGGCTACGACGAGGAAGCCTTCGCCGACCCCATGCAGTCGGAGTGGCGGTCCAAGAACGAGAACTCTGCTGCATCTAGCTGGGACGCAATCAAATCCCGCGTCGAGTACATGGCCAAGCTCCAGCCCTACAACAACGAGTAAGAGGTCGAGAGCCGTCTGGATGCTTACTGGGCCACCAAGACCAACGCGCCCTCCCCGAGCTCGACCCCCAGCTCGACACCCTCGACTCTGGTCGTGAGCACCACCACGAGCCCCGTGGTCACCTCTCCCGCTGTCACTTCTGCCAGCTCGACCATCACCTCCAAGGCCACGACCACCAGCAAGTCTGATGACGACGACAAGAAGAAGAAGACTTCGTCGACTAGCACCAGCACCACTTCGTCCAAGAAGAAGCGTGGAATGCGCTTCCGCGGGGTAGACATGGAGATGCCCAAGCGCACTGCCGCGCCCCAGGCATGAGAATGATTAAGTAATTACCACGCAGGACGGATTTTGAGGATTCCATTTGCACATCTCTTCGCTTTACGACTTAATGACACAACCCACGCTCCTTATAGACCATTAGATATCCTGTCCTTGAGCACATCTAGACATATTCTTTCCCACTACATAGTACGGGCGGCGGAAAAATGGGCAGCCCTCACAGTATTTGTAATGTTATTTACTTTCGATTTAATGCAACAAAAATAGTTGACGCGCAGTGTTACCTGTTGAGTGCAAATGTGTGATTGTGTTGCATCGAAAGTGACACGGTCTGGTTACTAATCCTCTCCGAAAATATCACATTGATAAGAACCACTGGTGCAAGCGCGTGCCTAAACACCTTTTAAGGGCGGGGCACTACTTACTTTTGTGTCCGGCGCAACCTTACAGCGTACTATGAACAGCCACCCATGCGAGATGTGGATGAAAAATCTACTCTCACGGGACTACGGAACCTGGCCAACTAGACCTGCATTAAGGCGGGCGATAGGAACCATAGCGCTCACCCTTCGTGATATCGAACACGCTCAATCGAGAAGTAGAATCGAGAAAAAAAAATTGGTAGCTTCTCTTTGATTGAGCGTGTCATCCTTAGTGCAGGGGCCATGCTACTGTGAGGAAAGTTAGTGCCTGGTTCCAAACTCGAACTCGAGGGGTGCAGGGATGGTGCTTACATCTTCTCTGTATCGTTTCAAATTGACCAAATGCCCGAAGGCAAAATGAGAGAGAAAGTTGGCCGCTTATAGAGGGAGGTGGAGTAGGGGGTGTGGGCCGTAGCTTGATTGGCGCGGTGGTTGCGTGCAGCTTACAGCTGGGGCCGGCTGACCCGCAAAGCTTCACCTTTCGGTGCGGCGGCATGTGCTTTGTGACTTGATGCTGAGGGAAATAGTTGGATTGAGGCTCTCTTCCTAAGGTGCTATTCGAGCTGGTTCTTCATGGACGCGCCTACCTTAGTTATTTGTTTGCTTCCTATGAACGCGTTAATCGCGGATAGTCGAGACCTTGGTCCCTGGCCAAATTAGACTTTTGATAATCGGGCAGATGATCGTATTTTCATTATTCGATTTTGTATCATTGTCAAGACCATGGAGGATATTAATGGAAATATTTGGACTCAATCCAAGCTATAGCCTACACAAGATATCTATCGGTGACTTCCCAGCTCTATCATTATGTTTCATTCTTGAATCCGATTAACGCCAAAGGTTTGAGGTGTTTGACCCCGTTGTTCAAATTTCTCTAGTAGACTCGCGCAAGACTGATATTGGTAAAAGTGTCAACATTATCCAAGACTTTCTCAACCGTTCAGATTTTGAGAAGAGAGCTCACCTTTAAGAACCAACACTTTTCCGCCTCAGTCAAAAGGCTCAGAGCAATACGACTTCACCCCCGTCCTACTCCCAGGCGAAACGCCACAGGCATCAACGACGGCCTGATCCGCCGCCGCCGCAAAGCACGCATCCTCAAACTCGTTCCCCCCGAGAAAGGGATGCGGGATCACGGGCCACGCGCGCGTGCTGTAGCACTTGCCCTTCTTCTCGCTCCATTTCGATATCGTCGGCGCGGACGGGTCGCCGCCCTTGACGCCGAAGAATTTGTCTTGCGGGTATTTGGCGCAGGCGGCTTGTGTTAGGCAGGGGTCTGATTTGGGGACTTGATCGCTTCCGCACCAGCAGAAGTGGTGTCTGTCGCCGAAAGCTCGTGTGGTGAAGGCGGCGAAGAGGAGGGGGATGGAGAACTTCATGGTGGCTTTGTGATGGGTTTGGGCTGTGTGAAGATGGAGGGAAGAAAGAGAGGCGCTGGTTGCGTCGAGTCTTTGACTCCAAAAACAATTGCATATGCGTTGAATGTCTTTTTGTTGTTGCAATAGGCTGTCTAGCAAATGGTAACGTTATCGAGTTAGGATATCACTAATTAAGTTTATAATCACATCTCAGTCTCTTAGAGATACAGTTATTTGCGAGTAATAGAACGACTAGATACTCGACTATACCAAAGAGCCAATGGTGTAGTCAGTGTCTATCGCCATAGCGGAGCGAAGTGGTTGAATGAGTTGCTTATAGTCCTCTCAATTTCTTTATATTATTCCTAGCAGACTTCCCGCAAACTTTGATCGAGGGATCTACACTAGTACTGCCCAGAAGATCGTCGAATGGGGAAACATGAACCAAACGGCAACGCCGAGCCTGACCCATAGTGATCCAAGCTTAGTGGGAACTTTATCTATCACAACACTGACCGACTCTCATTACCCACGCAAGAGTGTGTTCATCTTGTCAATTTTTGACGTGAAGTTCGATTCGTGTTGAAGTCAATCATCATCAATGCTATCGTAACAAAGTCTATTTAGATGAACGGAGGTCCCTGCTCGATTGCACCTTATCACGCAATGATGCTTGCCAATTTTGACGACAAACAGCACGGTCCAAGGAATAGCTTGCTCGGCGAACATGGAGACTGATTGTTTGGACTTGAAGATGCTTATATGCCTCACTTGAACACCGGGAGCTTACCTCGATGAGCCTCACTGCCCATCATCATATTTCTTGTCTTTCAGCGTATATTGACCAGCTGCTCTGCGCCGGCCTCCAGGCACCCCTAGCCTTTGTATCAGTCTTACCAAGAGTAACTGCTGGCAGTTCATTCTCGAGATATAGTAGCCTGTCATGCACCTCCGATCGTTACTAGCGTTATGGGCTGGGTATTTGAGTGTCTATGTGGACGCTGCGCCGTCTAGTCATGACACCGACTTGCTCTCAGTCGTGAGCCCGCGTGCGAACTGCGTGCCTAGCCAACTCTCGAGCGATACATGGAAGAAGGAGGGCGTAGACAACTTCCTCGCTAACGCCGCGAAACATTATACGGAATACTCCTCCGACAATGTGCAAGCTCTAGGAGCATACTTGGGTGCCCCCAACTTCTTTTGCGGGGTCAACCTGTGGTGCAACGCCGGCCAACCGTGTACACCGGTCACTTTACCTGGGTGGTAAGCCATGTGTTCTGCTCCTATCTCATCACTCTTCTCTGTACTAACGAGTCGCGCAAGGTACGCCTTAATGGGTATCCAAGGCTGGAACAACTACGTCAACAACCTCAACCTCGCCGTAACCTACGCCGCCACCATCCTAAGCCTGAAGCTTGCAAAGGTAGTCGACGACCTATGGCCGGCAAAGAAAGACAATGTCACTCCCATGAAGCAGTTCCTGGCGTGGGTAAACGGGATCCTCAACGCCTTCCCAACCACAGCAGCCCTCGGCGCCACCGCGGGCAGCATCGCTAGCACCGTCCAGGGAGGCAACATCATTGCGGGCGGTATGATGCTCGCGCCCAGCGCCGGCGGCCAATTCTTGCGATGGAGCGACCTGTCGAGCCAGATGGGCGGCAAAGTCGACGAGTACAAGCAGGCCATCGGGACGTACGCGAAAAAGGTCATTGACGCGCCCATTGACGATCCGACGTGGGGTATCAACAAGGTCTTGAGCGGCGGCGGCTTCCTCTCACGCCAGACGAACATCACGCAGGACGATTTCGACACGTGGATGTACAAGACTGTCAGCGTGAACGCCATGGCGCTGCTGATGCAGGCGCAGAACGTGTACATTATCCGCACTTTTAACAAGACGGCGTGCGATGACTCGTCTGCTGCTATCCTGTGCAGGCAGGAGGCCAACAGCAAGTGGACTGAGTGGCGGTTCCAGCGGCACGATAGCGATGATGACGTGCCCGAACACCGGCTTGCCGAGAAGCTCATCCAGACGTATGGGCTTACCAAGGAGGAGATCTTGAAGGGGCCTGCGGACTGCTTTGATAAGCATGATTATGAGCAGCTTACGAACCCTTGGGAGACTGTGTCGGAGAAGGGTGTGGGCTTGGAGCCGGTGCAGTTGTGTAACTTTAATGTCAATGTTTGCAACATGGATGCGGCGGAGGGGGGTGAATATGGGCCTACTGATGTATATGAGCCCGGGCATTCGGATTGGATGTGTGAGCTGCAAGGCATCACTTGGACTTAGAATGGGATGTATCACGGCTCTCAAGATCATCTTGAGTGAAGGTGGCATAATGCACCCAATCAAATGTTTCTGATGACCTTGACTCCATGATGATGCTTGATGAAAGGATCACCCTCCTCTCTTTCTTTGAGGACGTTTATTTCCCAATTTCATCAAATCCTGTGGCAACGGCTGCGACACTGCTTTCATTCGGAAGTCGCTGATTCTGCCCAGTTGCTGACTGGCTTGGTCCTTCATGTCATCGACATGCGACTCAGGATGCTGACATTAGTACGTTCATATATCATGAGGCCAGAATGATCTAGCAGTCGAGGTGGCCTGTGAACTTAAGAAACCAGTTCAGTTGCCTCGCCTGCCTATTTTAATCCCAAGTGAAGAGAGCAGAAGCACGTGCGAATAGCAAAATAAGTACATCGTGGATCGTGTCATAGCTGAGAAGCCTGAGATGGTTCCGTATTGAGATGTAGATGCATACTGAGGTCCTTAGACGGGGAAAAAGATGAATTCAACTGCGCGACCAATTCGTCGCCTCGCATGTGACCCTTACCGCCAAAAGGTCCACACTACATCAACATGTCTATGTGTGAGTCCGTGGCGCTCCTGAAATATGTCCTATCTTGATTTTCATTGGATGAGGATAGTCCTTCTGTCTCGGCTGGATAATCATGTCGAAGGATGGATTGGGAATGGAAACAGTGCACAAACTGTGTTATCTTTTGCATTGCCAGTCTGATCGATACCGAGATCGTGGCTGGACCCAATTAGACACAGCGTCCGGGGCCTTGTCTACTGTGCCTCGAATCGTACAGATACTGTCACTGAAACTTGCTAAAGTCAGGAAAGTACATGCAAGGTACTCCGTACACAGAATGGCACAACATATCCCACATCCGACGATGGCCTCTTCGCATACTTAAGAGAAGCAAGATCCCTTGGAGTGAAAAAGCGCAATGCCCAGTTTAAAGCCACCTTCGAAAGGATATTTATCAAGGAGAAATCCCCAACTTCTTGTAGTCTTTCATTTCACATTTGCTTTTACACAAAACCATACTTGACCCCATCCTCCATCCGCAGCATCCTTCCATCGTCAATTCGTTAAACAAACTGCCATCTAAGAACGAGACACACCCAACAGGCCTTGGAGCATGTGCTCGGCGAGGACAAAGGCAAGAATTCCTTGAAAACAGGCCACACAAGCGAGCTTAGTCAACCGGCTGGGTAAGGTCGACCACGAACGAACGAGGACAACACTCCCGAGGACGACACAAACCCAGACGAAGCTCGGTTGAATTCACCCGGCCGTAGCTGATATTTCGCAGCCCTGAGCGAACCATCAAAAAACTGGAACACTCCGTCAGGCTCTGTCGGATCACTGGTGCCTAAGCGAACAGCGTCACAAGGCATCACGATACGAGCCCTGAATAGAAGAGTGAAGCAAGAAAGTGAGGGGATTTCGTGCAACAAGCAGCACTCTGCATCGAGCCGAAGCATCTATCATCTCCACTGGCGTTGGAGCAAGGCACAATTGGGCCACGTAGGCCATCGGATGCGTCTGGTTGCGGGCGCTATCCGGGATGCCAAGGGCATGAAGCAACTCGCAGATATGACAACACAAGACCTGACTGCCAAGGGCCAGAGTCGAGTGGCTTGACACCACATCCTACCCAACCTTTCATTGCAGTCTCTTGTTTATTCCTACTTGCTGCCCGATCAAAGTTGATCGGAGGCCGCGGAACTTCTCATTCATACTTGGCCAGCTGTGCTGCCGCAACAACATGTTGCCCCAGCCTGCCGCATCACTGAGGCTAGTCCCCTTCCAGTCCGCTAGAAGGGAATTGACTGAACCGGGAGGAGGTTTCACGCTTTCCATCTGGATGGTGGGGGCGTGGTTGAAGTCAACCCTCCTTGTTGTCTCGGCTCCGAGCTGTGTGACCGCTCCTCCACGCACACTCAAGATATGCTATGTCTGTGTCAAAACGATGTCCACTAACCGGGACATTGCTTGGACTGTGACCTTCTCTTTTTGTACTAATGCCTTCCTAGGATATCCGTCTTCAAGAACTGGAACACTGGCAGGCAGGCCATCTTCAGCGCTGCCCTTCGGTGCTCCCAGATGGCTGCCGGCTACCACACATACCAACCAGCTTCCAACATGAAAGAATGACCCCGGTGGCAACTCATGGTGCAGAGTAGCCTCAATTAAATCGTCTTCGATTGTTCAGATATTCCCGCGCTCAAGGCTGGATGTTTGTACTATGGGCTAACAGTTGATATCACAGCACCGAGCAGGCTACGCTCTTAAGCTGGCCCTAGGCTTCACCAGGTCGATTATGTTTTGAGCTTCCACTTTACACACCGCGCTAGTGACCATCATGACCATGCACGCATGCATGATGTTCCCCGGACGGGGCGTGGAGCTGGGACACGTTCATCACCCACCGTTGCAAAACAGCTCCGGCTCATGATTAGACACAACCACTCGACTAGTCTCCTTAGGCGGCCGAGCCCCGCTACGCCCGAGTTCGAAGGCATCTGCCCCGCAAATGCAGTCTGGAACTCATGAGGGATTGCATCTTTTTGAGGGGTTGTCGATTCATCTGGCTTTTGTCTGGAGCTCGCACAGCATTTGGTCGTCTTGACGAGACGGGAATCGGGATCTGACCAGGACCACTGCGTTTCCTGACCGTTGGTTTCCCATTCGTCGTTGTTCGGAGATTCAAATCGGTATTTAATGAGGGAAACTTTCGGGGGCCAAAGAAAGCTCTTCTTGCAATGTTTGCGAAGCAAGGACTACGCTCGCGGTGTTCAGCGACTCAGTCAGCTTCTAGCAAACATAATTTACAATTATTTCAACTGCCATAGAGCGAGTATCGACTTGCGATCAAGATGGACTCGAACGCCGGGAAATCAGTCTGCCACAGGTAAAGCTGCCCTTTCTCATGCTTGTCGTGTTTGTAGCTTTTTGCACCGCTTGTAATATCTAAACATGCCTTTTACTGATCGGCTCACTGCAGCGGTTCCGAGCGCAAATCGGCACACACGCATTCAACAGCAGCGTCGCAGAGAAGCCTCCCTAGCCAACAGCTGAGTGCGTATCAGAATCAAGCGCCTTCTGAAGATAGCAATCTCTATCGCGTCGCATACCAGAACACCGATACAGGCGCCAGCGTGGCGCAACATAGGGGCAGAATTGTCGCGGATTTGGACGAGTTTACGGGTCGATTTGATGGCAGCTCTTCCTGACAGACGCTGTGAAATCATTGTTTCCAGAGACGGGACGAAAAGCTCGCGATACTGGTATCCTGAGGTCGGCTACCGGTATCTGCATGGGAAATAATTGCAGTACATAACATCATTGGTCCAGATGTGAAGGAGGCGAAGGTTCAGCGTCGCGTCGCATTCCGATCAGTCGTATATTGGGGCATATGTAAACCCGGCGTTCATCAGGGCGTGGAAAAGGTGTAGGGGACGGACAGTAGCTTTAGGTGCTAGACTACAGGTTTAGACCACCACAAGATGAGTTGTTGGTAGATGAGTAGCGACTCCCCGACCCCGGGAGCTCTACCTTTAACTTCTGCATTCTCATCGCCTTGCGTTCGTTTGGCTATACTGTGACTTGCTAGTTTGGAAAGGTGGATAGATTCACGTTCAAGATTGTCTATTCCAGCTATCTTACGCGCTTATGAAGCTTAAATACATTGCGCTCATGTGTATTCCATGAAGGTGATGTCAGGAGTAAAGCTCGAGGCGCTTAGAAGGGTAAACCCAAGGACACGCGCGTAAGGTATCAAAGGGAAAGCTTCAGCTCTTGATTGTTGCACCTAGGTAGAATCCCCCAGGAACCTCAGTATAAGGTACCTTAGGTGCCTTTAGTGTCTGGTTTTATGTAATCTTGGGGGCAACCGGACCTGAAGAACACAGTCAGGTGCCTACCGTCTTACTGCAGTTGCCGAGGCCGGCGCGGGCAATCCACTTTCGGCACTAGAGCGGGGCCGAGATTATTGTGGGACACCGGCCACCGGGCTTCGCACCAAGTTCTCCCTACCTACAAGCACTTTGATCAACATGACATTTCCAATCCCTGACTCAAACAAAGAAGACAATGGCTTGTTTGTTTGATCTTCTATAATCTTATAAAGACCCCGCTCATGGCAGTCAGATTTATATCTTCCCTTCGAGTACCTGTTTATCCATGCCCTTTCAGGTAAAGCGTGGCGCCCAAAGATCTCGGCATGGTTATCGGGAAGCCGGACTGCTGCTCGGTCGTACTTTCCAAGGTACCTTGCCTTAACTTGCCTTGCCATGCCTTATATCAAACTAAGGTATACCGTGCCAGCGAATCTACAAAGTGCAATCAATAAGGTAAATGCAGCCACATTGTCATGCAGAGCTGCAGAGGTAACAGGAGAGAGAGGTGCTCAAACCTCACTGTTCACGGGTCAGGGTACCATTCGCTGACTGATTGGTTGGTGTACGACCAGTGTATAGGGCTGAGGGGACGCTTCGTGTCTTCATTGGATGGTTTTGAAAGGGAAAGCCCTGCTGCCTGGAGGATTTCCGTACTTGAGCCAATAAAGATGACCGTTGGGGCGGAGCACATTAAAACAGGGATACCTGCGCACAGCCGTAGCCAACCGGATGTGAACTCTCGCGCTGATGAGACGTAAAGTCCTGATGCCATCTTCATTTAAGTCCTCGAGAATCCCATCCCACGTCTACGGAATCTTGCTCTATGACTTCTTTCCCAGAAAGCTGGATTCTTTCGTCTTTGGTATCACTCCATGCTTTTGGGTCAGCCCTACATATACGTCTCCCCATTCCCGTCCCCCTCCCTCTCGATTTGGGCTCTGAATGAACTCTTTCGGCCCCCAATTCCAATTCGCCAAATCGACCATATTTTACTATTCTACCGAACGCCATACTTTGGACAAGACCTACAAACAGACTTCCTGCCGATTCTGATCAAACTGATCTTCGAACAGTTTTACGACTTTCACCAC